ATGTATTGAAGGGTCTGGCCGGATCAAGGCAACGATGAGTGCATCCACCCTTGGTATCAAGTATTCCATTAAGTTTCCATAAATTTAAACCAGAAGTAACAGAGAAATTGTAAGGAAACGATAAATGCTCTTTATGCTAATCAAGGGTCATAACTCTGTGTTGAATGGTCTGGCCGAAAACAGATGACTTAATGCGCCTCTGCTCTTGATATTGATGGTTTCCATAAAAGTTCGTTAAATTCCAGCTAGTAGTTGCAGGGAAGTTTTGCGGAACGGTAACTGCTCTATATACATATTGCATAATTATCAATGGCTATAAATCTGTCTTGAATTATCTGACCAAAACTAGTTGATTGTATGCACATCTCCTCTTCGTATTGATTGTTTTTTTTTCATGAAATTCAGTAGCTACAGGGAAATAGCAGAGAAACGTTACTGCTCTTTATGCTGATGCATACCTAATTAAATGCCATAACTGTGATTAAAGCTACATTTAATAAATATGTAAAAATATTTTTGCCGTCGGCCTAAAAACCAAGCATTCTACAGTTTCATTAACCTTTTTAACAGTATCGTTGTAAATTTCATCAAATAATGTTTATAAATAAGGATTTAAAATGGAAAACCCCACGGTAACACTAAAGTTCGTATATGAATTTTAACATGCAAATGAAGACTATAATCAGCTCGTGTATGCGCTACGTCACGGTAATAAAGTTTGCCAGTCGAAACACAGCAAATATAAGATTTTCTTGTGCAAACACACTTTTACCGTTTAGGTTTCACGGTGCACTAGGCCTTTGGTTCAGAAAAAATAATCATCTCATAAAAAAGATTAAATGTGTATGAAAATATTTGTTACAATGCGAAAATATACCGATAAATTAGAACTGCTACTTACAGTCATGTTTTTTTATTTAAAATTAATGTACGGATGATCTGAAGGCAGAGTTTCTCATGCAAACAAAAATTGTACTTTCGAATTCGCCACAATGAGGTTGCACATTTGTATGCTCATAAAACTCATTTTGGTTGTCTGGACACAACAATCAGATCTGGAGTCGATATGAAACCCAATTTATTAATGAAATGTCGCTATTTCTGTTTTTATGAAATTTATTGAATGTAACTTTAAGTGTCTGACCACAACAAGGCAACGATATGCATATCTCCTCTTGGAATTAATGCTTCCCATTAAGTTCCTATAATTCAAGCAAGTAGTTGTAGAGACAGAACCCGAAATCGATTATGGCTCTAAATGCATAACTGCATAACAAATGAAGGGCCATAACTCTGTGTTGAATGGTCTGAGCCGAATAACCCGACGATATGCGCATCTCCTCTTTGTATTAATGGTTGCTATAAAGTTTCGTTGAATTCAAACTAGTAGATGCAGGGAAGTAGCGCGGAAAATTGTACTGCCCTCAATGCATAATGTTTGTTTGTTTGGATTTTCACGGCACGTCAACACATAACTGGCCATATCGTGTCGAATGCTATAATAGGTTTAAAATGTTATGTAAAACTTTGTAAATGACAAAAGAAATGAGCCAATTAGATCCTAGAATACAAGTTTATCTCTTTCAAATAATCAGTTATGTTTTTGATGGAATTGTAAGAAAGAGTTCTTTGAGTGAATTTACAGAATAAAATCTATTACGGGCCTGTGAAAAATCATGACATTTAAGAAGAAATTGCTTGACAGTAAAATTTTCATTACAACCTACACAGAAAGGGGCATTATCATTTGTTAGGAGATAAGAGTGGGTAATTTTAGTGTGTCCAATTCGGCATCGAAGAAGAACTGTTTGATCTTTGCGGTTTGACAGAGATAGAGATGGTGACACATCAAGAGATGGGTTTATATCGTGAAGTTTATTAAAAATGGCATTGTCCCAATTTGCTTTCCATTCAGATAATACGAGTTTATTTATAGCCGGTCTAAAAACACATGCAGGTAACAATTAGTCAGTTTTTTGAAAATATAATGATTGTTTAGCTAAAGCATCTACTTTTTCATCTCCTCGTATACTTACATGACTTGGTATGCAATATAATTAATACATTTTGTTTTTTGTATATCATGAAATCGTAAAAGAAGTTTCTTTACCATGATATTGTCAGATTTATTGTTTTTATGGATATTAAAACAGAAAGCGAGTCAGAAAATATCACAAATTTAGCATGTGTATGCTGTGCTATGCATGATAATGCTAAATTGATAGCTTATGTTTCAGCAGTAAAAATTGATTCATTATCTGGTAACCTAATACTAGATGTAAAATTATTTTCAAACACAGCCGCACCTTCTTTGCAACCTTCTTTTGAACCGTCCGTATAAATATGTATAAAATCTTCATGTTCGTCCTTAATTGCTAGAAACTTCTCTTTGAAATATTCAGGTGAACTTGATGACTTTTTATTTGTGAAAGGTTAATATTTATTTTCGGGGAATTATAAGTCCAGGTTGGAATGTCCTCATCGTCATTTTGAAGAATACGGTCTGGATTAATTTTATGTTTATCTAAATCATCTTTAAAACGAAGGCCTAATGGTTTAATTTCCTTGCATATTGAAGTGATAGATTTTTTTGACTGACGATACTGCATCACTTATCAAGGGCCATTACTCTGTGTTAAAAAGTCTGGGACAATGCGACGAGACGGCATTTCCTCTTTGTATTAATAGTTTCAATAAATATTTGTTGAATTCTAGCCTTTAGTTGAAGGGAAGTAGCGCAGAAAGGACTTTTGTTCTATATGCATACTACATGTATACTGCATAACTAATCAAGGGCTTTAACTGTGTGTTGAAGGATCTGAGCGTAACAATGGGACGATATGTACAGCTCCTCTTGATGGTTCCAATTAGGTTTCATGGAAATCCAGGCAGTAGTTGCAAAGAAATTGCGCGGAAACAATTATTGCTCTATATGCATACTGGGCAAAAACTTTGTGTTAAATGATCTGACCCTTAAAAGGCGACGATATGCGCATATATTCTTGTTATTGAAGGTTCCCATAATGTTTCAAAGATTTGTAGTCGGTCGTTAAAGGGAAGTATCGCAAAAACGATTATCGTTCTACATGCATACTGCATAACTAATCAAAGGCCATAACTCCGTGTTTAAAGTTCTGACCCAAGCAAGGTGACATACGCGCATCTCCTCTTGCTATTGATGGTTTCAAAAAGTTTAGCTGAATTCAAGCCAATAATTGCATAGAAATAGCGACAACATTATTGCACTACATATTATACTGAATATTAACTAGTCAAGGGTCATATTGATGTGTTGAAAGGTCTGACCGAAACAGGTTGATGATATGCGCATTTCCCCTTTGTATTGATGGTACCCTTTAATGTCGAATTCAACTCTGTAGTTGCAGAGAAGTAGCGCGGACACTATTATTGCTCTATGGATACTGCATAATCAATCAAGGGCAATTAATCTGTGTTGGAAGGTTTGAACAAAACAAGACAAACTATGCGTATATCCTCTTGGAGTTGATGTTCCTTAAAAGTTTCGTTTAATGTCAGCCAGTAGTTGCAGAGAAGGGAAAGAAATTCGGACGGACGTCCCAACATTTGGTGTTTATGTGCCTTTTCTTTGATCTTTATGTGGCATTTCCCTCATAAACCAGTGAGATTACCATTAGGTAATAGTTAAATTAGCTCATAGACTATTTGATGTTTGCCCGTACACACAGACAATTCTAAAACAAAAATATCCCTGTCGATTCTATTGGCGGGGGAATTCAAACTAAGAGTGACTTAAAACTCGGATGTTCAGCTGCCAATATATGCTACCCAAAATCACGGCACACAGTTGATACCAAATATTGTATTGTAAAGAAAAGAAGTAAGGTTGTTAGCTGAAATTACATTCGGTAGCAGTACTTGTACTTAAAAATAGTATTCAAGTATGGTGGATATATTGAACACCTAAAGTAAAGATAAACGCAAGCTTATCACTATTTAAGAGAAAATTTAAATAGTAGAAAACTAAACGTCAAAAGGGGATTAAAGATGAATCAGTCATTAACAGTCAGTTAAAATGTGTTATAGTTTGGTATTTATAAAATTCAAAATCCTGTCAAATGGATGACTTAGAGTCATTTCAATTGACAAAATTCACAATATCTTTTATTGTAATAGTTTTTTTTTTCTATTTACATGCCTTTTTTTGTAAATTATTCGATGAATCTGTCGTTATCTTAATTTTGTTCAACATACAAATATATAATTACGCTTTAAGCCCAAAATATATAGTATTGATACAGAAATTCATGCTTGAATTTTTAAAAATGTAATTTTAGTAGTGTATAAGAAACAATATTTTATTTGGTCAAGAATATTAAAGAGGATATTTGTATAAGATATATGTGTAATGATGATATGAAAGTCGTCGTAATATATGTGAAAAAAAAACAATCTGGAAACAAAATGATCCCTCGGAAGGATTAATCAAATCAAAAGTACACGAACATAGCAGACTCGGTTTGATTGAGTATATACATGAAGGCTAATGAATAAGTGCAACATCCCTCACGCCCCCTAGAACCGACTTGAGCGGTACTCAATTTTCAACAATTAATAATGCTAGCATCAATGTTCCCGAAAATCCAAACGAATATAACAACACTTTAAATCTCTTCATGGTACAATTTTGTACAAAAATAACATAATTTGAACAAACTTTAGAGAAGTTCATAACAAATTATTCCAAGTCAAATATCTAGCCTTTGTGTTGTTGGATGTTAACGCATGTAAGTTGACCAAACTTTAAAGCAGACTCAAACCACTTTACTTTTTTGTGATTGGCATCTAAATAATTTTACTGTGAATTTTGAATTTTAGGGTAAAAATATCAATCAAATTGTTTAGGAGAACACGTTGTTATAAGAAATTGTTAATAATGGTGACCTACGGACGTACTGATCCCACAAAACAAACTTTCCGTTGGGCACTTTTAGCTACAGAGAGTAAAAAATAATACTTACAACGCTTTCCAAACCATTTCTTGTGCTTAACTTGAATATTTAAATACCCTTTGAATTGGCATTGAATTTCATCTAATTCAGTCGAAGTCGCCCCACCTTAAATGCAAGTGAAATTAATATCAACATTGGGCGGAATGAAAATATTACTCACTACTTGTTTACCTTGTTAAAAGAGATATTGGAATAACGTGAACAAGCATGATTCTTTTTTATTCAAAACATTTCCTTTTTTTATTCTTTAGAATGATTTAGAGTCCGCTAGCCTTTAAGTTAGCATTTCAAATTGTCATGATTACATAAAATATGACTTAAGAACAAAATTACTTAGATCTTCTTGCATCACAAATGCAAATAGAAACAAGATCTTTTGAAATGTGTTAGTACGAGTAAAAGGCAAAGGTATGTAAAATCAGCGATGTAAAGCGATTTAAAAAATTTACATTTCAATTACAAACATTACTTAAATGTTCTTTAAACTAAAGTACAAAATGAAAAGTGAGATCAATTTAGTTAAACCACTAAAAATGTCTGCAAAAAAGGGCTAAATTATATAAAATGTCACTGAGCATAAGCAATTTCCAAATAAAATATGTTTCAGCAAATAGATTTTTCAAAATGTAAGCGAATTATGTAATTACATGAAATTCTGATTTTCTGTAAAATAAGATATAAACTTTTTTCAGAATGAGATTGAGTTAAGCTTTGAATAATCAGTTTTATAATTATAATAATTAACCTCGTCTAAATCCAAAATATAAAAAGAAAACGTACAATATACTTACAACCAAAATCATTGAAAACAGGTATTTAATTGTTTAAACATTTATTTGAAAAATGAATCGTACCAGCAACTTTGCGTTTGTAACATTATTGAAAGGAGTAAGCCGTATGAATGTCTTTGTATATTTTAACTTGTAGTTATAAGTCAGTATGTTTTTTCTGTGTTAGAAACATTGATTCATCTTATATTCATTTTGAATTATGTAGAATAGTTTGAGTCCTATGAATTAGGTCTTTGCACAAACCACAATCAACTTTAAATGTTAAATTGTCGTAAAAAGGAAATTTAAAAATATTTTACTATATAAAGTTGTTTCCTCTATTGATATTGTATTGAGTATAGTAATAAATTGCATACTTCTGTAAACATAGACATATTTTCTTTATTACACGTAGTTTTATTTTTACATATAAAACATAGAAAACAATGTTCAGCCATATAAGACACGTCATTTCCAATTCTTTTAATGCCACCGAGTTTAGATCTCAAATATTTATCCCAGCATGATTACAGTCTGGCATTTAACTTCGTAATGAAAAAAGTTGGATATTTAGAATGAAAATTGAAATAGTAAAGTTGCGAAAAAATAAACAGTTAAAGGCACTAATTATTTTCTTTCAAATTGACATAATACGCATTTAAAAATATTGTTAAGGGACATCAATGATCACCCAAAGCTACATTTTAACTGTGAATTCGATACCTTATTGTTACACTAAAGTAATTAAGCTGTTGTGTTTGTATTATCGTCATACAGATCATTTTAAAGCATATTATCCTTGGTTATATCCCATGTTAAGTTATGATGAAACAAACAAGCAAAAAACCCAAAACGAAGAGAAACACCTTGATTGAAAAAGAAATAAAACCCCTACTTGATGACAATACAGATACCTGGCTATGTTTTGTTTTTTAATAGTAAGTAACTTTTGAACTACTTAAAACAGTGTACACGTTAGACAATTTCTCTTACATTCTTTACATGTACTTGATGTTATTTTCATTACTATGTATCAAGACAAAAGAAGTACAAATTAATAACATTTCTTCGCATAGACATCCCCGGAATCCCTGGTTATAGCATAAAGCTATATATGAATCTGGCGCCCTTTGGCGCAAGACCTGCATTCGATGTTTACACAAAAATAAGCCGAGGCACACACCTTACTTAACCTTTGTCCTCATATAGACGTGTTTTGACGACTTTTTGTTAACCCCTTTTAGACCTCAAACAGTGAAAAGATGCCCTATTTAAGCCCCCAACACTGTTTTTCATTTAAGAAATGTTGTTAAAAAGTGACCACTTTTTCGGCGACGCCCCCATCGAAATGTTACATCAGGGGGTTGCCAGAAGGGGGATGTGTTTGTAGTCCCCCTCATTGCCAAGTAAATTTTAGACATGTGACAGGCTCAAAATGGCCTCAGGTCAATTTTAGGGTAACTATTAACCAACGCTGAAAGCATTTTTCTCTATCTCAATTCATTAAGAAGTTGCAGAACTTTTAAATCAGTTTTGATGGGAAAAAACAATGCAAACTAGTGAATTTTGGCAGAGGCTATGGTCTAGTAAACATTTGTGCCAAGTTTCATCAGTGTTGAAGAATTTTTTTATAGTTTCATAGCAGTTTGAACTTGTTTCAGAAGGGTTTTGCAATGAATACGGCCATTTTTTGCAATATTCTCATGGGGTAAAAGGTTAAAATGTAATATATTAAGCTCACGATAGTCATAATTTACCTCTGCAAATTAGCCAAATATATTAATTTTGAGCCAAATTTTATCACAGTACAGCGAGCAATGGGCAAAAAAATGTGAAGTTACCTAAGAAAATAATAGGTAAGTGAAGTAACCCTGATAAGGGTTGTTGTTGCTAGCAAATGATGCCACCGTTCAAGCTGTCACATCGGACGAGAGGCTTACTCACCCTGGTACCCTAAATACGATAAAATATTGTCTAACCAAATATATACATCATAAAATGATACAAGAGCCTCGTTGTGAATAACGTTATATTGGTACCAAAAACCTTCAATATAACAATATGCAAGAGAGTATCGACATAATTATAAAGTTAAATTTGTTTTGATTTGTTTCGATAACAATAAAAAATAATAAAGGTAGTCTTACTGGAATGCTTTCCCGCTAAAAGTGTAACATCGGTCAATACCGTAGCGGTTATTTCCGGAACGTCATTAATTCAAAATGTTGGGCGTTGAATTATTTACAATTACTTTCCCGTATTCGCTTTGTACTACTTGTTTTAAAACAATTAAACTAAATTCATATCATCGTGAAAAATGGTCTTATATCAAGCTAGCAACAGAATTATTATGTGTACTTAAAGACCGACGACAGATATATTATGCATCAACACCATCGGATGGAAGTGTTCGATAACAGTTAACAGCAGCCAGCCAAAATATCTAACCTAAAATTTTAGGTATCAAAATAAAAAAAAAGAAACTTTAGAGAAGCATTAGTGTTGTGGTAATAACAAGTTAAAATTTATTAATCGAACAGTACTTTTTCTTGCGTGTTCGCCAAATGTTTACCAGAAAATATATTTTGTATATTGTTAATGAATGGTTTGTTCGTTTTGGGTGTAAATAATGATCGGTGTATATAATGATCTGAGAGGTTTGTTTATAAATACATGTATTTGTTATTTAACAAGCTCAGATATATTGTTTTTTATTTCTTAACCCTTCCTTATATTAAATAATATCAAATCAAGCTATTCTCCTGACACCAATATAGTTTAAGTATCTAATGTCGTGATTGATTGTTTGTTCATTAATTTATATATTACTATAAGACAAGAATAATTATTTCGATACAATTATTGTCAAATATCTCATTATCGATTTGATCATATAGATTTAAATTTTCTTGAATGCTTACTTTTTATTGATGAATTTTCACTTGTTGAGTTGTCATATGACAGTTTCTGAAAGATGTCAAAATCCTGAAAAATATGAAACAAAATAAGTTCCTCCTCAGGTAAAGCATTCTTTAAGAAAGATAACAGGTTTATATGAAGATTATTTAACAAATAACAAGGCTTTCAAATTCTAACAAAATCAACATTAATAAGAGATCTAAAGAAATAATAGAACCTTAAGGACGTCGAAAACTCCGAGAATATTATGAATGATAGTCGAGATATTCCGACTGTTTTATTGTTCTACCACTTAATAGTCACATGCAAATGGAGATTGCTGCCAAAGTTATTAAATTGATAAATAAAGTTATATTCATATATTACATCTTGTACCTACAATTTAATATTTGATCTTCATTGATTGAGAGAAAATATTTGATATCAAGTGTCGTATCAGCTAAGATCGGATTTTCTATTAACCGTTGTACTTCTCGCCTACGAAAAAAATCAGGTGTGGCTTTGTTACAGAATGAATTTTCTACGAATCACACTATATTTAACATATTTGGATAGTAAATGCCTTTATAAGTAGTACATAGAACGATTTAGTTTTAATGCGTCTAAAACACAAATGATTTTAGGTGCTTATTACACATGTAGGCAGATTGCATTTATATTCTAAAGACGGTAAAAATAAAATAAAATTGAAAAAATAAACTTCAGTACTTCTCGTTTTGCCATGATATGCACTTTCTTGAATATCTTGTTATTTAGTTTCTGCATAAATATATGTTTCTTTACTTTATCCGTCATATTTCAACAAAAAATAAAACAAAATAAACTGATTTTAGCTTGTCAGTGAAATACATTTATGTCTGCTAATTCTACAATACATTATTTCTGTTATTTTTAGTTTCATTATAATTACTATCATAATTATTATTTTCCGAACAGAAAGTATGACGTAAAGTGCTGAAATGACTGTTTCTTAATTTTCTTTAGGGTCAAACTTTGTATTCTCACAAGCAATTGTGTGTTATCATTCGCGCTAAGAAACAGCTTGGAGAAATGTTTGAAAGGTTAAAGCAAAAGCATGTAAGCGGAAATGCCCATAACCCATTGTTGTCAAAAGAGTGTGGGATTCTTTTTCCAGTCTGTTTTCCCGATTAGCATTTAAAAGCAAATGCCTTACTATCCAATATAGTTGGAGAGTTTTGATTAACATATGTGACGATAATATATATATGAACTGTGCTTTTATTATAAATCAGAGAAAACAATTACCAAATGTACCACGAAGCTCAACAATAAGAAATGAAAAATGTTGCATATTTACAAAAATATAAAAACATGAATACACGACATTTATTGCTCGTTCTACAGTCATGAAAGTAAACAAGGAGATGTATTACCATGTTGGTGAATAGCACTTATTGTTGTTTTTTTTAAATCAACAC